CTTCTGGTCTCCTGGGCTACTCTCGGGCTCTGTTTCTTTCGGTGATCTTGCGATTTACCTCGTCAGGTAGGTCCCTGAACTGTGTGGTTGCGTTATGGCTTCCACGGTGGTGCGGCTTACTAACGCAGCCTAATCTTCCTTCTAGGTCCGTGACGCGCTTCTTCTATGCTTCGGGGCTTTCGATCTGTAGTAGTGGTCCTTGTGAATAGGCAGTCTGGGTTCGAAAACCGCTGCCAATTCACTCTCTTCACTGTTCTTTGTTCACAGGTTTAACCCATCTCCCGTACGAGAAAGATGGGGTTGTGGTCTGAGCTTCCCTCTTGCATGGCGCCGATGGTGGTGCGCATGTCGATTTCCTTCAGAATCGCCATATCTATGACGTCTGGTCTACCTCCGTTGCTGGGGTATATTGTAGGTTCGTCCGGACCTATCATGGTATATCCAGGTTCATCCATTAGTCTTTCCAGAACAAGCCGTGACTGTTCTGTTTCTTAGCCCCAAATGGTGGACTTCGCGTTTAGATCACCTACGATCACGGTACTGTTTTCCCAGTGCAGTGATACAGGTGACATCTTCCAGAGATTACGGACTTCTTCTATACATATATATATATATATATAATATATATATATATATATATATATATATATATATATATATATATATATATATATATATCTATATATATAGATAGCGAGCGAGAGAGAGCGCGAGAGACAGAGAGATCGACTAAAATTCTCGACCCACTATTATCATTTTTGCATTTTATCATAACATAGTGGTTCTGAAAAGACCGTTTTGTTTTTGTTCTTATTTTCGAACCGTATAACCGTCGAAGCGAATACAACGTCTATATTATTTTGAACTGGTGTACTTGGTGACGGCTTTGGTAACCTTCGCTGCTGCGTGCTTGGCCATTCTCCCGGTAGCAATAGTCGTACGGCTGTCTGAATTTCTCTGCTAGTTATCGTGGCACGTTTGTTGTAATGTGCCAATCTGGAAGCTTCCGCAGCGATACGTTCGAAATATCGTTGACGAAGCTGTTCATGATGCTCATCGCTTTGCTGGATATACCCGTATCGGGATGTACCTGCTTCAGTACTTTGTAGATGTAAATTGCGTAACTTTCCTTCCTCCTGCGCTTCTTTTTCTTGTCAGATTTTGAGATAGTCTTCTGCGCCTTGCCCGCTTTTTTGGCAGCCTTACCGCTAGTTTTGGGTGGCATTTTATTGTGAGATGATGCTGAGTATAATCGACACCAACGCTCGACTAACGGAACGACTGCAATTCTCTGGCCGTATTTAAGACAGGTGACGTTACGACCGTAGACTCCGCCCCCAGGCGTTTTGCCGGCAAACTTCGCGTCGATTGGTCGGTTAGTTCATATAAATACAACGTTCGCGGAGATCATGTTTGCAGTTGCAAGTTCATAGTCGACGTCGTTCGTTTAGCAGATTAACAAATTGAATATGTCAGGACGCGGAAAAGGCGGTAAAGTTAAGGGAAAGGCAAAGTCCCATCCAGCAGGGCCGGCCTACAATTTCCCGTCGGTCGTATCCACAGGTTATTGCGAAAAGGGAATTATGCTGAACGCGTCGGTGCCGGAGCTCCGTATATCTAGCGGCCGTATGGACTACTGTGCCGCTGAAGTTTTGGAATTGGCAGGCAACGCTGCTCGCGACAATAAAAGACCCGTATTATTCCACGTCATCTGCAATTGGCCATCAGAAACGACGAAGAATTGAACAAATTGCTTTCAGGCGTCACAATTGCCCAAGGAGGAGTCTCCCTAATATCCAAGCTGTTCTTTTGCCGAAAAAGACGGAGAAGAAAGCCTAAAAAAAAAATCTTCTGAACATACAATCGGCCCTTCTCAGGGCCAACAAGTAATTTAAAAGAAAATGAAGGGATTATCATTTGTATATGGAAAAATTTTCTCAGGGATATCGGATCGGTTGTGGCGCGAGAAGTTGGCAATAACTAAATTATTTAATCGAGGCATCTCATCGTCGCATTCACGTCTAATATTCGCCGGTATCTCGATAATGGGACATATCGGGACCGAAATCGTCGATTATTGTAATTCAAAGAGCCAAAACGTATAAGTCGATCAATTTCTCATATTCCGATAAACTCATTTATGTGAGTGTTTCTTTTTATTTTGTATAAAAAAAATAGAAAATCAATGTGGCGGTTCAATCGGCAGATCCATTCTTTCTCACGAGAGTATATGGTGGTTCTGAAAGAACCGTTTTTTTTTTTTCTTTGTATTGTATTTTCGTTCAACCTGTACCGTGGTAATTGCTGCGGAGTGTTTTAACCACCGAATCCGTACAAAGTGCGTCCTTGTCTCTTTAATGCATATACGACGTCCATTGCAGTGACTGTCTTCCTTTTAGCGTGCTCGGTGTAAGTGACTGCATCCCTGATTACGTTCTCTAAAAAAGACTTTGAGCACTCCTCGAGTTCTTCTTCGTAAATCAATCCGGATATACGTTTTACTCCTCCACGTCGCGCCAATCTTCTTATGGCCGGTTTCGTAATTCCCTGGATGTTATCCCTCAAAACTTTACGATGCCTTTTCGCTCCTCCTTTTCCCAATCCTTTACCACCTTTACCGCGTCAGTCATTTTTCAAGATTCTCTCGCACGTCGAACTGTTAAAGCGAACGGGCTGTTGCCAACTGACGGTACGTCTCTCGTGACGCCCGGTTTTGTTAGCGTTGTCGTCCCTCCTATTGGTCTATCAATTGGCCAATCAGACTGTTTCGTATTTCGAGCCCATATAAATATAACTGTTCGCGGGTGTTTACCTCCGCAGACAGTGAAGAGAGTGAATTGGCAGCGGTTTAGAACCAGACTGCACTATTCACAAGGACCACTACTACAGATCGAAAGCCCCGAAGGCATAGAAGAAGCGGTCACGGACCTAGAAAGGAAGATTAAGGCTGCGTTAGAAGCCGCAACCACCGTGGAAGACATAACGCAACCAAACAGGTTCAGGGACCTACCTGACGAGGTAAATCGCAAGATCACCGAAAGAAACAGAGCCCGAAGAGTAGCCCAGGAGACCAGAAGCCCCACGACATCATGGTGGCAAACAGACTTACGAGACAGGCACGAGACGCCTTGAAGCAGCACCATCAGAGCACCTGGGATAAGAAACTCGACGAACTATCTCCAGCTGACCCAGGAATGTGGAACTTGGCCAAAATCCTCAGAAACAGAAGACAGCCATCCCCCCAATACACAGCGAACAGGGGATGGTGTACACAACCGAAGAGAAGGCAGAAGCTTTTGCTGACAACCTTCAGAGACAGTGTACTCTCAATACTCACCCCGATGAAGACGAAGACTTCATCGACGAGGTGATGAGAAGATCGAGGAGAGCTGTCAGAGGAGGAAGAGCCATCGAAGACATGACCTCTCCAGGCGAGGTAAGGGAAATCATCGAAAGACTCAAGGTGAAGAAAGCACCGGGTGTAGACGAAATTGGGAACAGAGTCCTGAAGAGACTCCCGAGGAAAACGATAATGGCAATTACCAACATTGTCAACGCCATTCTGAGACACCGGTACTTTCCAGATCACTGGAAAGTAGCCGAGGTGATCAACATACCTAAACCTGGGAAAGACCCAAGGTTCCCCCAAAACTACAGACCCATAAGCCTGTTGACGGCATTGAGCAAGATGCGGAAAGGGTAATCGAACGAAGACTGAAGAACGAAACCGAAGAACTCCGAGTAGTTCCAGACGAACAGTTCGGATTCCGATGCGAGCATTCAGCAGAGCACCAGGTCCTAAGGCTGGTCGAGATGGCAACGAAATCGTTCCAGACTCGGCGGGCCGTGGGAGCTGTGTTCATGGATGCCGCAAAGGCGTTCGACACTGTTTGGCATGACGGACTGATCTACAAGATGGTAGACCTCGGATACTCAAAGGGATGATCCAACTGGTGAAGTCCTACTTGAAGCACCGAAAATTCCGAATTAGGATCGGTAAAACAACTTCGACGACGAGGACTGTGGAGGCAGGAGTACCGCAGGGAGCGGTTCTATCACCCCTGCTGTATGCAATCTACAGCTCGGACATCCCGAAGACTCCTCAAACGCAACTGTATGTGTATGCGGACGATACAGCATATGCGGCAGAAAGTACGAGACCCCGCATGGTTACGGAATATCTGCAACGAGCGACCACCAACCTAGAGGAATGGTGCATCAAGTGGAAGATCCGCCTCAACCCCGAGAAGACCGAAGCGGTACTGTTCCGAAGAAATCGAAGATTACCTCAGACCAAAATAAAGATGACGACCACCAGAATGGAGAGAGGCTGGAGAAGAGATGAAGAGGTTGAGGTCGACTGGAAAGACTCCAGCACATACCTTGGAGTCAAGATGGACCAAAAACTCACTTGGAAGAACCATGTCGAAGACCGGGTGCAGAAGTGAAGATGGCACGCTCCAAACTAAGACCCTTAACGGGCAGAAGAAGCAAAGTGTCACTAAAGAATAAGACCATCATGATTCAGATGGTGCTGCTACAAATCATGACTTACGCAGCAGTAGCTTGGGGCTACGTTTCCAAAACGATGAAGAAGAGGCTCCAAGCTCAACAAAACATGGCACTCCGTGAAGCGGTGGACGCACCGTGGTATGTACCTAACAGAGTGCTATATGACGAACTACGACAGGTACCGGTCGTAATCCAGATGAAAGAGAGGGCCCGAAAGTTCTTTGAAAAGAACGAAAGACATCGAAACGTGCTGATTAGAGACGCCTTGGATTACGACCCAAGAACAATAAGGCGTCACAAAAGACCGAAAAGCCAGCTGCAACAAGAAGATATTTGGCCCTAGCAGCTGATGAGGCCAAAGAAAAGGGGAGAAGACCGACAATAGTTGTACACCCAAGAGGGGAAAGAACAGCCCGTGTACAACGGGTGGACAAAAAGAAGCCTGTCGATTGAGGTGGCCAGAGTCAAGCACGGACTCGGGGCTAACCTCAGGAGACGAATGACTTACAAAAATGACTGACTGACGACGACTGACTGACTCCAGTCGACGAGGAAAGAGCGAAGGCTCACCAACCTTTAGGAGGGGCTTAGGTCAAAAGCCCCCAGCGCAGGACCCCCAAGAAAAGAGGCCGTCCATAAAGTCGAGAACCGACAGTTGGAAGAAACGTCCACCACGCGCTTCCGCGACGCGTGCGCGATCGAGTCAAATTTCGGGAAAAAGGGGCAAAATTGGGGAAGGGGGGATAGCTCGTTCGGCAGCACACACTCGGGGAATGCGCAAGCGGCCTGAACCACGCAGCGCCACTCCAGGCCTTTGGGCGGGAGTGGGGGGAGGAGCAGATTGCTCTTCCCCCCACTCCTCAAGGGTTTGAGGTTGCCTGGAACAGGGGTGGTGGAGGGACCGCACAGGGTAGGAGGGTGTGTGTGTGTGTGTGTTTACCCTCCGCATAAAGATGACGACCACCAGAATGGAGAGAGGCTGGAGAAGAGATGAAGAGGTTGAGGTCGACTGGAAAGACTCCAGCACATACCTTGGAGTCAAGATGGACCAGAAACTCACTTGAAGAACCATGTCGAAGACCGGGTGCAGAAAGTGAAGATGGCACGCTCCAAACTAAGACCCTTAACGGGCAGAAGAAGCAAAGTGTCACTAAAGAATAAGACCATCATGATTCAGATGGTGCTGCTACAAATCATGACTTACGCAGCAGTAGCTTGGGGCTACGTTTCCAAAACGATGAAGAAGAGGCTCCAAGCTCAACAAAACATGGCACTCCGTGAAGCGGTGGACGCACCGTGGTATGTACCTAACAGAGTGCTATATGACGAACTACGACAGGTACCGGTCGTAATCCAGATGAAAGAGAGGGCCCGAAAGTTCTTTGAAAAGAACGAAAGACATCGAAACGTGCTGATTAGAGACGCCTTGGATTACGACCCAAGAACAATAAGGCGTCACAAAAGACCGAAAAGCCAGCTGCAACAAGAAGATATTTGGCCCTAGCAGCTGATGAGGCCAAAGAAAAGGGGAGAAGACCGACAATAGTTGTACACCCAAGAGGGGAAAGAACAGCCCGTGTACAACGGGTGGACAAAAAGAAGCCTGTCGATTGAGGTGGCCAGAGTCAAGCACGGACTCGGGGCTAACCTCAGGAGACGAATGACTTACAAAAATGACTGACTGACGACGACTGACTGACTCCAGTCGACGAG